ACCTCAGGCTTGATATTCGCTTAATTTGCCACCCCCTCTTTTTGTGACTCATGTCGATCACTTGGCCTTAGCGCCATTTCCAGTTAAACCAGGTAATACGGTATGATAGATACGGTACCGGTAGGCCAGACCCTTGCCCTCACTCCCACTCTCCCCCTCTTCTCCCGTAAGAGCCTCAATCGCGCACAGCCCACATGACGTCTATGGTTGCCTGAGTAAAGCTTTCTTCCCCTACCGGCACTGTACGGGACTGTATTGCCTATCTTTTCCCACAAACTTCGTCATCGTCATTCACTTTCCCTCCCTCCGAATTCACCAATCAAATACCCAATTCAGCCCAATTCAATTCAATTCAATCCCAGATGCACCGCGACCTCCGACTCCGCTTGTTCCCAAACCATCCGAACGCACTGTCTTGGTCCAGGGACGGGCAGTTATGTGTGATTGCTTCGGAGACCGCACAGATTCTCGTGAGTGCCCGTACAGCCCTTCCTCCACCTTCCATTCCTTCGCTGCCCCTCCCCGACCGTTAGGGACGCAGGCAACGAGCAAACAGCAGCTAACCATTCCATCAGGTTCCCAACAACCTAAAACCCCACCACGCATCCCTCCGCACGCACCTCCTGCACAGCATACAAACCTCGCCCGAAGTGGCCCCTGCAGACGGTGAGTTTCAGGTTCGTTTGAGGTTTTACCTTTATTTATTCATATTTTTTTCACCCTTGTTTTAGAAAGGAGGCAATGATTGGTTGATGCGGATTTGCTTGGGGACGCAAATAGCGGAGGTGTATTCTATTGGTGATGAGCAGGGCCCGGGATATGCGAGGGCTGCGGCGTGGAGTCCTTTGGGGGTATCGGAGTTTAGGAGGTATGTGTGGTTCTCTCTTTTTTTTTCACTTTGCTCGTACATTCCTAGAGTTTGTTCGGGGAATTTCTTCATTGGTGAATATTAATCAAGTGAGAGAGAAAAGGTGTATTCTGGGTCTCCTCACGACAAATCATCAGGTCAAGGTTTTTGTCCCTGGGTGGGACCCTTGGAGTGATTGGGTGATTGTGAGTGTCCTCTTTTTTTCCTTCTTTTTTTTTCCTTTTCCTTTTTCTGCATACTGCATTGGTTTCTGTGAGAATCGTTGGGTGCGAGAAGTGAGAGAGAGACGCACTGAGAGAAAAGAAAAGAAAAAAAAAATGAGCTTCGGCCGTAAGTTGCCCGATGCAGGGGGCAGTGGTCCATGTTCGAGGAGATGGTTTTGTGAGGAGATGGTCGGATAGGTTGAGTTACTGGATTTAGACTGACTAGCCTCCTTGATGAATGACTGGAAAAATGATATGCAGCGTTACGATCTCACAAAGTACTTGATCGAGTACTCGGGTTGGGACAATGATGAGCTCAACGGGGAGGACGAGACCACAGTGCGTATGCGGGTCCGTACGAGATCTTTTTCTTGGTCCTCTGGAGTTTCTTTTCCCGCCAGACGGCGGGCGGAATCATTGCTCGCGGTGGCAAATGATAATCTACAGATTGTGCTTTTCAGGTCTGTTTAAATTTCCCCTGCATGTTTTTGATTTATTTTATTTTCGTCTTCGGCATGCCGAAAGGCTCCAAGTTTAAAAGGGTTTTTTTCCACTTTTACACTTTTTCATCCCCCCTGCTGGGAAAAATGTGTTTACCGTACCCTTGAGCACGGTTCGCAGTGGGCTGTGTGGTGTGTCTCCCCGGCGGATCTTTCCCTTGCTCGTCCTGTCCCCAGTTCCCTTTCTTTTCTGAATGATATGATACGCAGGATCACGCATGACCATTGTTCGATCGCGGAGTTTTTCAAGGGCGTTGATTTAGAGATCGTGAGAAAAGTTGGGCAAAGGGAGACGTGGGTGAGTTGCCTTGCATGGAGTCCCTGGAAATGGGTCCGGGGCGGCGACGAAGGAGACAATCACAAAAGCAAAGCCTTCCTGGCCTACGGATTCCGCGGAAAGACGTACATTTGCCCGATCACCGTGTCCCTCGAGTCGGGAGATTACTCTTGCTCTCCCGGGGATCATGATCCTGGCAGACTGTCGGCTGTGGCTGGAAATAGACTTGTTGTTGGGAACTCGATGTCTGACGTTCATCTGGTTTCCGCTATGACTTGGGCTGAGGAGGTGAGACTTTTTGCCCTACACACACCGCTCCCTCACACATGCACTTTTGCACACACAGTCGCGAGCTTATTCGTTGACCCGGAATGACAATGTAGGAGATCAGTGGGTGCCTTATTCTGGCCTATGCCATTCCGCGCAGCGTAAAGATTGTCGCTATCAACAGCGATGGGGGGGTCATGTCCACCAGGGAGTTTGTGAATGGCTTTGTGGATCATATTGCCGGTACGTAATTTCCCGTATAATGACAATGTGTAAAGATATACTCATCCTGAGAGGTTACTAGGCTTTTGTTTCACTCCGTCAACAAGTCCCTCGCGGGTCATGCTCCATCTTGCCAGCTCCAATGGAAGGGCGCAAATCATCGACTACACACCCACATCCGGCCACATGAGCGAGAAGTCAACCTCTCACATCACGGAAGGCGCCGGCGACGAACAAGATGTGCCGATGAGTGACGCCCCACCGGGAAGTAGGGAAGAGGAGGAGGAGCTCCGCGCTATTGCTTCCCGTTGGACGAATGTACTGGAGGAGAGGAAGCAAGACTACATGGCTGAGCATGACCTATCCACTTGCACTTCGAGAGTGTATGGCATCGCGGCAAGCCCCATGGGTGGGATTATCGCTGTGGCTTGCAGCTTTCATCCGAATGATAGCCTGCAGTACATTACGGCATCTAAGGAGATGACCAAGATAGTTTTCGGCACACACCACGGGTGGGAGGGCGCCTGGCAGAGGAGAGGCCTTCTGGCTGAGCCCCCGTCAGACGAGCCGCGAGTTCCCTCCCCCGTCGAGATCTCGAGTGAAGCATTTCTCTTCGAAATCGAGTGCTTTGGAAGTAGAAGCGCAGGTATTGTGGATAGGATCTGGAGGTCGCTGGATAAAGTACACTTCCAGGATAGTAACGGCTGGGACCTAGAGAGCATATCGATAGACGGTGCTGGGGTCGATGCTTCCTTGGCTTCCAATCTTTTGGCTAAACGAGAGCTAAACGCGCTCCGGTACAAATGCTGCCTGCAAACATTATCAGACCCCGCCAATCCTCGCTTATCTCTCCTTATCAACGCCCCTCCCAAAGAATATCCAGAAATAATCGCTCATACCATATGCAATATCCTATCCGTCCCCCGAAATAGCGCGACCGAAAAGTCCAACCTGAGCATCAGGATAATATACTCTCTCGCATGTATCGGGATTCTAGGACTGTACAATTTCCGCCAAGTCGTAGAGCTCGCCCGAAAGGCATTCCTCTGGCTATCGACAAAAGTCAAGGTAGATGTGCGCACAGAGCTGGAAATTTCGGACCGTAGAATATCAGATGTGGAAGTTATGGAGCGCGGAGAGGACGATGGTTCGGGTCTGCAGGAGATCCGTGATAGGGACAAAGGCTTCGCGAGTAGGCTGGAAAAGTGTGCCCTGTGCGACCAGGGAATGACATGGTCCGATCTGAGGGTGGCCGAGTGCTCACTTGGACACAGAGTTTCTAGATGTACACTTACTTTTCTGCCAATGAAGGACTATAAACTCACGAAAGAGTGCATGGTCTGCAAGCGGACGGTTCTGTCAGAGGCAATACTTGTCCACGAGATGGAGAATAATGGTACGAGTAAGAATGACGGCGGAGACGGCGGCGGACTAGGAGATGAGGGGGAGATGGATGATGGCGGTGGCAATACTACGAGCACGAGTAAAGCGGGGCCAACTTCCGCTTCCTCTTCTTCCCGTGGCAGAGGTGCTGCTGCTGCTTCTTCTTCTTCTTCTTCTTCTTCTTCTCAAGGAGGGGTAGTAGTAGATAGAGGAGGGGAGAGCACATTGGCCGCAAGCATTTTGACTGGTTTAGATGTCTGCGTACATTGTGGAGGAAGGTATTGGGCGAAAAGCGAGGGGTTGTAGTTTAGTTTAACTCTGTTTTTTTCTTTTTCTCCTCCTTTCCCTCTCTCTCTCTCTGTGGGTTGGGTTGGGTCGAGTGAGTGTGTTTTTCCATGATGAGGGAAATTTTTAATTATATATCCCTTTTTTCTTTAACCGTACTTACTATCACAGTGCTCTTGGTTTTAGGGGGCGAAAGGGGGCCGGAGATGAATGGGGGGAGGCTTCAATACCATGACGCCCCTGCTTGGGTGTTTGACTTTGTCGAGATTTTCGTCCCGTGTTTTGAAATTATTATTTTTTGTCAACGCCCCATGGAGAAAAATAGAGTTATCATAGCGTACAGTACGAGTACTGGTATCGTAATATCTTTTCTTAAAAAAAATAAAGGGTGAAAAAAAGGGAGAGCACGAACCCGGCCGCCCCCCCTCCATCCCCCCCGTCGGCTGCCGAAATATTAGGGCATCGCCGTTTTACCCACATTGAAGGGAAAATAAAAAATAAAATAAAAAAATAAAAAATGAGAGATGGCACCATGGAAGGGGTATGGTAGGGTCTCGACATATGCTATGCTAAGCTATGATATAAAATTCGGAAGGGTAAATAAATAAATCATGCCATACTACGGTACCGGTACGATGGGTAAGAGGGAGGGAGGGAGAGAGCGAGAAAACCACGAACCTTTGGGAAAATTGCCAAAAAAAAACCCCCCCAATGATCGACACTGACAAGGACCTGGGCGGGTGTTTCGGGAGTTTTTTTTTTCTTTTTTCCTTTCCTTTTCTCCTTTGCGAAGGGAGTCCGAAGCATCGATTGCAGGGGGTATCTATCATAATACTGTACTCGAGTACAGTACGAGTCCCGTACGAGTAAAGTACCGTACCGTACAGTAACCATACCACAACTCCTCCCCAACCATTCAAGTTAGTTTACAAACTCTCCCACCCCCACACTCAACCAACCAAGCAACCAAGCAAGCAAGCAATCAAGCTACCGTACAAGTCTACGAGTATCATACCGTAGACTACCATACCATACTCGAGCACCACGGTACAAATAACCAAATGAAAAAAGTTAAGTAAAATGGTGGTTTTACTCAAACATCACGTCACGTCAACCGCAGCAAAAGAAAAGAAATGCCCCCACCCCACACCAACCCGATCACCACCATCAGAGCATATATAACATTATGTACCAGTATCATACGGTACAGTACTGTAACTCGTATGGTATCATAGGTATGATGGACGCACCCACCGTACCTTACCGAACCGGTCGGTCAGCCGTCAAAGGTTTGCACGAACGTACCCGTACCGTACTCGTACAGTTACTGCCCTTCCTTCCTCCATTCGTGGAGGTAAGGTAAGGTAAAGTAAGGTATTTATCATAGGCGGGGGAAAGTACCGTACCGGTTACGATAGGGTAGCAAAAGCATGGTATGGTATCGTAGTCTAAACGGTACGGTACGGTTTCTCGGGTTGGGTTGGGTTGGGTTGGGGAATTAGCGTAGTATAGTACCATACCGCGTCGCATTGCATTGCGTTGCGTTTGCGTTGAAAAAAAAAATGAAATGAAAAAAAAAGTACCGTACGGGTTTGTTAAAGTTAGTTAGTTAGATAGTTAGTACTGAACTGAACTCTACCGGAGTTCGGGGGGGGGGGGGGGGTTCAATGAGTACGGTACCGTAGCGTATCTTGTCGTATCGGACCAGTGCTGTAACTAGTACTGTATACCGTACCGTTATGATGCTGTAAGGTAACGAAGTATGATGGTTGGCTGGTTGGATGAGGATCTGTACAGTACCATGATACAAGTAACAAGTATGATACTTGTATGTATATATATAAAAGTTATGATTACCGTACCGTATTAAATACCGAATCGACAGGAATCACGATAACGGCAAGTTATGCACTATCTGTCAAAAATAGTGAGAATGATAATAATGATAATAGGAAAATAATATCCATCATGGGGTATCGTAGAGAAAAGAAAAAAAGAAGAAGAAAAAGACCAAAGGGTTAAAAAGGTAAATTCCAGACGGACAGACGGACGGACAAACATCCTGGTATCATAACTCTCCATGATATATACCCTATACCGTACCATACATATTTACTGATAAGCTCACCCCGCAATCGACATTCCTGCACGGTAGAGTACTTCAAAAAAAACACTTTCTTTTTTCTTTTTTTCTTTTTTTCTTTTCTTCCCTCCCCCCTCTCTCCCGGGTTTCCCACGTCCAATCCCTTCTTCGCCTTCTTTTTCCTCCGGGAAGGGGGAAGGAAGGAAGGAAGGGGTGGGGCTCCTCCGGTACCGTATGATGGTGATGATGATGATGATACGCGGATTTAGAGGAGGGGGGGAGGGAGAAGGTAAGGATTAAGTCAGTTTTTTTCCTTTTCTTTCAACTCGTATACGGTACTCGAGTAGGGTGCAATAGGTATGATGGATGAGCAAGTGAGTGAGTAAGTGAGAATGAGAGTGAAAAGGTTTGGAATCGGACCCGTACGATATATAACTGTTAGGGGAGGTGTTTTCGTACAAGACAGGGATCATCTTGCGGGTTAACCTAGATTAACTGTGCGAAAACATTATCCCTGGCACTTGTAGCATCATACGGTACGGTGAACCGGAGCTCGCGCTCTCTTCCGGTTAAGCTTCCCCCAGTTATCAAATAATAATACATCCTTCTCCGCGCTTCTTCTTGACCGGTCAGCCGGCCTCCCAGCCAGCCAGTACTGTGCGAGTAAGTTGGAGCGGTGGCGCAGCGTAAATACCCCAAGTGCAATACCGTATCTACCTACCCATAAGGTGCAATCGGATTTGTGATGCGGCGATGTGATACGGTGCCGTGCGAGTATTAGTTATTTTGTTATTGGTACTGCACTGTATGATGTTATTATTGTGGTTGTTATCAAGTTATAATCGATGTCTCATGATGTGCCGAGAAGGGAGGGGATGGAAGTGTTCCTAAGGTATCATCGGTACGGTAGGTAAGGTAAGGTAGGTACGGTAGGTGTAGTTACGTCAATTGTTCATTTTTTCTTCTTCTCCCCCTTCTCCCCTCGATGCCTCTCACGATGTTGCGGTCCACGGCTGGCAAGAAGGGAATTACGGTGTTTTGTTATAGGGTGGGATACCGGAGGTGGATGGGATGGGATGGGAGGGGTACCCCCGATGTGGTACTCGTATCGTATCATACCGCGAGAGTGCGCAGAGCGGGGAACTGGGGAGTCGAGTGAACCGGATCGGATGGGATTCGGGAGGTCACCGCACCGGTACCTCGTACTGGCTGACCGCTCCTGCGCTTTTCCCCGATTGTTGACTTTGGATCGTGCTCGAGTGCCATCGCCCATACGGTAGTCTACCGCTATTCAGAGACAATTGTACATGTTTAGATCAGGTTAGTCCGTAGCGGAGCCGCGGTAATTACATCATGTTTCACCCGTACCCCGTTTCGATGACCACTACCGGTGGGGACGCTATGACCCTCCTGCCTCCTCTCCATCTCTCCCTCTCTCCCTCGCGGCCAGGCAACTGGACAAGATAAAGTTTAGATAGCGACCGAAATCAGCGCGGTGCGCTACTGTATCGGCACCATCAGCATGCCCCTCCCCATGCTTCAGCGTTTGGGGGGGGTGCTGAGGAGAGTGAGAATGAGAGTGAGAGAGCGTTACCCGACGACATGGTGGCAGGTGCGGTAGGCACGAGGGACTCCTGCCCCTTCAAGCACCATGTGCTTGGTCATGTCGGTCACCGGGTTCGGCATTTTTACCTTCTGCTCCCTCCTCCTATTGCTGTATTGTGCTGTATCAAGCCTGCGGTGTTTTTCATCCCGGGTCATTTCCTCTCATTCATTCGCTCTTTTCCCTCCTCTCTTTGCCTCCCTACCTACCCACCGGTAAGTTCATAGATAGGCAAGTAGCCAGGCGGGTAGGTAAGTGGGTCACGACGACCTGCGCATTTCGGTACGCTACGGCAAGTAAAAAAAAAAAAAAAAAAAAAAAGAGGATCCCTCCCCAATCACTATCGAGGGAACTCCAACCCGATGCAGAGCATGGGTTATAAACTAGGGTGTGCTAAGGAGGCGGGTGTGGGGCGCGGGTTGAGAGTACAAGTAGTGCCCGAACCAATCGCTTGGAGTCCTGGTTTGTGGGATTTCTTTCTTTCCTTTTTCGACTCGCGCTGCTTTTCCTTCCCCCACCGCCCGGAGGTACAATACCATTGCTATTTTTTGCCTGGTTGCCAGTTTGCCTCGGCGGACGGCCAGGCGTTCTTTTTCCCTCGCCC